AAAGAAATTGACAGTGTTGATGATTTTTTTAAATACTTAACGGCAAGAATGGTAGGACTAGGGGACACAAATAAAAAGTTTGGCAAGGTAGGAGTCATCTTCAGCTAAGACAGTTATATTTTTCTAATAGGGTAATTAGTCTCTGGAATGGGTTGCCTTCGAATGTTGTGGAGGCAGTACATTTACGCGAGCTTAAGAGAAAGCTTGATAACTATATGAATGATAACAGCTGGCGTGGACAAGTTGATAAATACACCACCTTGTCACTGAAAAAACAGTTCAACACAGCCTCATTAGACGGACCTTGATATTGCGGCAATGGGACACGAACCATAAACTTTTGGATTAACAGTTCGGAACACTTTCTGTGGAAGGGAACATTATAACAAGAAAAAGTTTGAAGTTATGCTCAGTAGGTTTGTTTGAAGTTACGCACAAAGCTACACAATGGGCTATCTGTGCTCTGCCCACCACGGATATCGAACCCCGGTTTCTAGCATTGTAAGTCCGAAGACATTCCGCTGTGCCACTGGGGGGGGCTTCTCAGTAGGACAATTTTTAAAACAGAGTAAACAGATTAGTGGTAAGTTAATGTCTATAGATATATTAGTATCATTTACAATAAATATTTTAACTTAAAACATACACAAAAGAAATGAGTAAGATGAATTCAAGATAGGCTTGCAACTTATATTTAAAGAAATATATATTAATAATATGAATTTGGCCAAGATGGTATAGGTAATCGTGAACTTTCAGTGATTACATTGCTTAGGGGAATATTTTACAAATTACGAGTGAATCATATTACTATTAGTATATTACTCAATCTCAAAATCGTAGAACAATAAAACAGACATGTTTTAACAAAGACCGTAATTTTCAAAGGCTAGTGAATGGCAACAATGTGATCTTCTTAATATAATTGTGTATAAAAAAAATGTCTTAATTAATTTGAAAAACATGTACTAACCTAGTACTATTCTCTTTAGGCTTTAAGCACAAACATTAGAAAGGTTAGGTTAGTCCATACTAACCTCTCGAGCTGATGTCTGAAAGCTATAGTAAGTGTAGCCAGGCCCTCCCTTGAATCCCCCAAACACACAGATTGATTCACTCTGCTGGCTAGAAACCAACTCTCTATCTTTTTAACTTCACTGTTTCACTGATCTAATCATTTTATAGATATTTTGAAAGCCGCTTGTTCATTAATATTCCCGAATATCTTAACGTAATGCACCCTCTAGCTAACAAAAGAATGACAACATAGAAACTTTGACCTACAAAAATATATTCGTGTAACTGTTTTAAATCATGTTTAAATATATACAGTTATGAGTTTATTAATTCTTACATTTTGGGAAGAAACTTTGTGACTTGGGGATTTTTAGGATCAGTTTGGGGGGGGGTAATCAAAGTGGGTTCCTCGTCATCGAATTTACTTGTACAATGTAACTCAATATGTTCTATAGTTAACACAGATCCGAAAACGTTGTACAAGTAACTTGATCTCTTTACGTTAGTATAGATACTATAGAGCCTTTAGTGTGGTTTTAAACGTGACATAAAAGTAAAACGTGAAGGGAGAAATGAACAAAATTGTTACGTTTACGTGGACTGGCTTAAAACTGTTTTCACCAGATAATTTAAACGAACCTGCTAACGAAATAACAACTAAATGTCACAAGCGGGATAATTTTCACTAAAATAAAATATAACATTGACTAAATTTGAACTTTCATTCAAGATGACCACAAGGACTCAAATTGAGATAGGAAACCTGCCATACGTTATAAAACAACGAAAAGAACAATAAATAGAAAGATAAAGATCATT